TAAGGCATAAAAACGTCATAGTATAGTAAGGCAAAAAAGTCAAAAAAACGTCATAGTATAATAAGGCATAAAAACGTCATAGTATAGTAAGGCATAAAAAGTCAAAAAAACGTCATAGTATAGTAAGGTAAAAAAGTCAAAAAACGTCATAGTATAGTAGGGCATCAAAAGTCAAAAAAACGTTATAGTATAGTACGTCAAAAAAGTCAAAAAACGTCATAGTATAATAAGGCATGAAAACGTCATAGTATAGTAAGGCATAAAAAGTCAAAAAACATCAGAGTATAACAAGGCAAAAAAAGTCAAAAAACGTCATAGTATAATAAGGCATAAAAACATCATAGTATATTAAGGCAAAAAATGTCAAAAAACGTCATAGTATAATAAAGCATAAAAACGTCATAATATAGTAAGGCATCAATAGTCAAAAAACATCTTAGTATAATAAGGCATAAAAACATCATAGTATAGTAAGGCAAAAAAAGTAAAAAAAAAGTCATAGTATAGTAAGGCAAAAAAGTCAAAAAAACGTCATAGTATAGTAAGGCAAAAACGTCAAAAAACGTCACAGTGTAATAAGGCAAAAAAAAAGTCATAGTATAGAAAGGCAAAAAAACATCATAGTATAGTAAGGCAAAAAATGTCAAAAAAACGTCATAGTATAATAAGGCATAAAAACGTCATAGTATAGTAAGGCAAAAAAGGCAAAAAAATTCATAGTATAATAAGGCAAAAAAAGTCAAAAAACGTCATAGTATAATAAGGCATAAAAACGTCATAGTATAGTAAGGCAAAAAACGTCAAAAAAAGTCATAGTATAATAAGGCCAAAAAAGTCAAAAAACGTCATAGTATAGTAAGGCAAAAAATGTCAAAAAACGTCATAGTATAATAAGGCATAAAAACATCATAGTATAGTAAGGCAAAAAAAGTCAAAAAAAGTCATAGTATAATAAGGCCAAAAAAGTCAAAAAACGTCATAGTATAGTAAGGCAAAAAATGTCAAAAAACGTCATAGTATAATAAGGCATAAAAACATCATAGTATAGTAAGGCAAAAAA